CACATGAAGCCTTGGATATTTTCTACTTTTAGAAATCTGTTGTGCTGACTTACTGTTGTGGTGACGAAAACTCAGCCTGCAATGACAAATTGCTTTGACAGATGTGACAATTGTTAGTCCTGTCTGTGTCTGAATGCTGATCATCATTCTATGAACTACAAAGCCACAAGACCTCCCTGGGTCACTCAGAGTGTCACAGGAGAGTGTGTCCTCTTTGATATTGTTGATTTTCCATGCTCCACTTTTTTCATGCCTTAAGCACATTACAAAAGTGCTGTCACTGTGTGGATTTTAGTGTTTATTTCTAATATTCTTTCAGTATGGAGATCTCATTTTATGATGTCTCACTGCTTTTCATCATTTATCCCCTTTAGTTTGGTACTCAATTTAAAGCTAAAGACAAGTCCAAAGATTGAATTATCTGGTTTATAATACTGAATTGATAGTTTTTTGGTTTTCTTTCCTTTGGGATATGAATTTTTTAAAATAGCCTATGGTATTTCTAAGAAGAAAAGCATATGATTTTTGGTCTCATAATGAGACTGCTATGACCATACTTGCACATTTCCCTTTACAGGGCTCTAAGAAGCAGCAGAAGCTGTCTCCCCCTAAGGCCTGTGTCTGCTGTGCATGTGTTGTCCTTGGCATACTTCTCTCTGCCAATGATTGTTTTCCAAAACTGACATTTTTGTTCATAGTCTTTTCTGGAGATTTGGTATCAGTTCATTTGTGGGTCTTCCCTTGAGGTATATGAATTAACTCCCAATGATTGTTGTTACCAAGGACTCACTTTCACATTTTATTTTGATTCTGTTTTTACATTTTAGTTTGGCATTGAGATGTTCATAACTTTGGACACAGATGGTCCCTGTGTATTGTCTACAGATAATCATATGTATATCCTATTGTATTGTGTGAGTTGTGATGATAAATTGAAAACCAAATACAGAAATTAAAATCCAACATATCAATGCAGATGTTTCAGTTCAACAACCTGTAATATCCCAAAAGCATCTTGGTTTCTGATCCATAAAGTCCATAGAAAACAGCTGGAATAAAAGAGGTTTTTACAGTATTTGTATACTCATGTGAGAAGAAGTAATAATGGGTAAATTACATGGGAGTAGAAAAATATTTTCTCCAAAGAAACAAACAAAAAATACATGTGCCTTTTTTCTCTCATCATAGATGATCACGGGAAATCATTCTGAAATTAACATTAACATGTTTTGTAATATTATAAAATTAAGTGTTACATTTCTCCTTAAATTGCTTCTTCATATGACAACACATTCTTTGACACATCAGGGTCACTTGACATTCATAGGTCAATAAATATTTGTCTATGATAACCAGTGTTTGAGAAACTATGAAAATGGCTCATTTTATTAACATCATCATCATCTGAAAGATTGTGAAATGATTATTTACCTACCAACAAATCATATTCCTCACAGAGAATACCATAACCAGAAGTCTAAACATAAAAAAATAAAATAAAGAACAATGTAAATGTATTCTTCAGAGGGTGATAATATAACTTAAATCTGTATATCTAACAAGGTTGAGTAATGATAGTGAAAGTTAACCTTTATGCCCTCAGAAGGGAACTAACCAAGGTTTACAAACTTGAATATGCAAATTTGGTTTTATATTATATTTCAAAGATTGAAAATTTAGGACCTGCCCTTAACAGCAGGAAGTAGTTTGGAAAGAATGATGCCCAAATTTCCAAATATTATCTATAAATGTTTGTTTTCATTTAAATGGACTTGGTTATGAAATACATTTAAAAAAAAAGATATATACAAAATTTAGGTCCTGTAATTTAGTGATGGTTTTAGTTCTGACTGGGATCTTACCAAATAGAATACAGCCTCTTTTTACTTCCTCCTGTACAGGGAAGCCCCTTACCTCTGCAGCAGTTCCATCCTCTGGTCCACTTAGGAAGACGAAGCCTGAGATCAACTTCCTATTCCCTTTGATTTTTTTTGCACATATTAGAAATATGAGGCTCAAGCTTAGTGCTGTGTATGTGAAAATGTGAACCCCATAGATATACAATAGGACAGGTGCTGGCTGGCTGGGGCATCAATAGAAAAGGGAGGAAAAAAACATTGATAAAGGAATGGTGAAGGATTCAGAAAAAGAGAAGAACAAGCAAAGGCTGCTAAAATAGATGGTGGGAGGGAGAGATGTAATTCCACCTGGGCTTCAAAGAAACATTAAAGACTTTTATATGACTCGAATATCCACTTTTACTGTATTTTGCCCTGCAGTAACTTTTTTAATCAGTCCTTTTTTTCTTATGAAAGTAACATGTCACAATCTTGGAAATAATATGTTAAGTTCATAAGATGCAGTAATAATGCATACTTAGTACAGAAGCCAAACATCTAGTTTTATGGTGTTAGGCATCTGTCACTATCATTTCCCTCTATCTGCTTCATAGAAAAAAAATAAAGTATTATTACAGCTTAGCATTAAATAAGTGCTTACTACATGCCAGATGTTTCCCTTGAGATCTATGTATGTAGATGTTAAGTTCTACCAGTAATTCTGTGGGGTAATACTGTCATTAACACCAAAGTGCAGACTGGGTAACTGAGGACAAGAGAGATGAGGTCACTTCTCAAAGCCATACTCCACTTTCATGAATGTCTTTCTGGTGGCTGTCACAGTTTTGCAAAGGCCTTTATTAGTCTTTCATTTTTCTTCCATAGTCATTCTGAACTTTCTCTTTCCCTAAACTTGAGAAAGTGCTTCTGATGACAACACTGGCCAAGTCACAGGAGAGGTACTGGCCTCAGCCCAGGAGAAGTCACAGGAGAGGCACAACCACCACCTTTCTTAATGGCACAAAACTAAATTTTGAACTGTCTTTTAAATTATTTTTTCCTCACTTAAAATTACCAATTTTTTCCCCAGAATTATATGCCAGACTCATGATGTCAAATAAGAAGGAAGTGAAGTGCTAAGAGCTAAGTGTTAGCTAAGGAAGTGATGGTCAGGGCTAAGGTTTACAACTAGCCTTCCCTGTTTAAACCCTGCTCTAATTTAGTAAATTTGCAGCTTTAGCACATTTCTTAATTTCCTGGTGCCTCAATTATGTCACCTATTAAAAGCCAGGAATAATAATGCCCGCCTCTTAGGGTTGATCATTGGATATATGCAATAGAACAGACATATATCTATATATAGCAAAGCAACTTTATATAATGAATTGCCCTTTACATTTCTATTCTTTATTAGTTAATTTATGTAACAAAAAAATAACCTGGGATTTTTAAGTATTAGGATTTAAAGAAGGACCACTGAATACCAAATAGGCTCAAGCAAAGAGCAAACAATGATGATAGGAAAGTAAAGGGAGATATAGGATTAAGGAAGATTTTAGGACCTATCAATGAAGAGAGATGGAGGAGGGAGAAGGAGATGAAGAAAGGAAAGAATTACAGAAGGTTGAAGAGAAAAATAGAAGGGGGAAGGTAGGGGAATGGAGTAAGGAGAGAGGAAGAAAAGACAAAGGAAGGGAATTAAGGAGATTGTGAAGGATTTTATTAAGTTTTTTGCTTTATGTGTAATTATGTAAGTCCACATCACCGCACTTTCTGATAGAAAACCATGTCTGTATTTTACTAACAAATTCTTTAAGTAAAAGACAAACTTGAAACCTTGATGCTTATTAAATCATTTAATAGAAAGGATATTTAAAGCATAGAAGCATGGAGCAAGAATAACACAGAGAACTGCTAATATAAGGGTTATGAACAACTTTTCTAGAATATCTTTTCATCTTGAGAATTAGCTGATGACTCAAAAATATTAGTCACATTACACATTAGTATGCTGTCACCTGCAACATATAACATAGGATGATCTCCAAATGCCTGAGCAGTCATCAAAAATTGCAGACTCTTAGATTATTAGAATATTAGATTAGTTGATGTGATTGACTTTGGGTTGGACAGCCGTGACATGGGAAATTAAATTCTGTCATTTGCTAACTCAAAAAACTGGTACACACCTTATAGAATTTAGAGAAAACAATGCCAGGCTGTAACATACTGGAATCATTTCATGTGCTATAATTTTTCATTTAGAATGTGATAAAATTATTCAAGAGTCATTTTGCCTCCACCTGTTAAGTTTCTAAACAGCTTTTCCATTTAAAATAGATTTTGAGGATTGGGCTTTGAGGTTCATTCATAGATATTCTAGAAATGTCTGTGTTGAAAACTGAAAAAAATAGTACTGATCCATTTAAAATTTCATACAGAATATGATAGGGTTTTTTTAAAAACAGCCATGTTTTGGCAATAACAGTGTCTGTTTAGAGAGGTGAGGGAAGTTAAATGTATTGTGCAGTTAAATAGAATCTGAAATTTTCTCACAATACACAATGATTAATCAAACAGGGCTTTGTGGGTGGGTTTAGTCAATATGTTCAGATCACCATCACTCATGTAAAAAGATTAGCATGTGCTTGTACTCCTGGCATGCCCATCCAGTCTAGACAACTAGTGTGTTTCAATTAAAGCATAAGGTCCTTTCTCAAAAATTAGGTTGAGAGCAATTAAAGAAGTTCCCCGCATTGACCTGCCCCCCCACACCTACAAGCATACAAGATGATATATATACACCCACATACATACATGTACCCCCACACACCCAAAATAGTTGTGTTTATTAAGCTAGAAGTTGATATTCTGCTGCAGGGGCTTCAAATATAGCTAAGCAGTAGAGTGCTTGTCAAACATGAACAAGTTCATTGGTTTAATTCCTAGCATCACTAAAAATATTAAATTCATTTTCAGCAATTAATATTATGGGTTTTGTTGCTTAAATAACTCCGACATGAATTGTGTAGACACACACAAGCCTGAACTGATGCAATAAAGATTTAGTGCTATTTGCTTACATACAAAAATTTTCCACAGATAAAATTTGAGTTTAAGGGTCCACATATGAAGGGACTGACAGCTGGGATCTTCTTTCAGCCTCCACAGATGACAGTGCAGCTGAGAAGAAAGGAGGAACCCTCCATGCTGGTCTCATCGTTGGAATCCTCATCCTGGTCCTCATTATAGCAGCGGCCATCCTGGTGACAGTTTATATGTATCATCACCCAACGTCAGCAGCCAGCATCTTCTTCATTGAGGTGAGTGCAAAATTCAGCCATGACAGCCATGCTGGTGGATGTGTTGTATGAGCTAGCAAACACCACCTGGATTTAATGTTTGGCACGTGATTTGTCAATGTCAGGCTAGCTGATGTCACACACATCTCACCCACTCATGTCCATGTTGATTGATTACTTTCAGATGATGAGGTCAGACCTCTTATCTCTGAAGCTCTTAAACAAACAAGCCATCTTCCCCTTAGAGACTGAAGGGAAAATAAAAACCATACTTTTCTAGTCCTCTTACATCAAATATGTTAACCAGCTGTTCTCCTGTCCTATGAGGAAATCCAGACTATCCTGGAGACAGAAGAACTTGACTGAATTGATACATAAATATTCATTGAAAATTGGCTGTGTATATAATACAATAAAGTAGGTCTGTTCTCAAAATGCTCATAAAATACACAGAAAATACAACTTCCACTGCAAAATGACAGATGTAAAAATGAGATACAATGTGATATTGCCATTGTGTATAGTGTATATATATTTATTCATTTATGCATAAATGCATACCCACAATAAGATTGGTTTGATGCTGTTGTGTCCTATACATAATTTAGGTTTACCACAAATAACAGGAGAAACATGGAGTGCATACAGGGGCCATGGCTAAACATGAGAGTCTAGGAGGCCAGGTTTGAGTCTCTCAGGAGAGACTCAAAACCAGTAACTACAGTCAACAAAACCAATTCTGCTTTTTAGCCCAGACAGATTTCCTGTGTCATCATAATTTCAACTTTTATGGTAGGATTTTATAGGTGCGATTTTCTTCCAACAACAAACACTTAAATGCTAGAATGACAAAGGGTATCTGCCTTTGTAGATTTTCAGTGTGAGAGCTGAATTTGAATTCACTGCACAGTATGTGGGGAAACAGTTTGAATTCTTGTCCGCTTGTTGAATGAGAAATTATAATGCTTTCACAACAGGATGAGAATTACCATTGGCCCCTATGATAGGAATGGCTGAATGTAGATCAATTAGATAGTTATGTCAAAGTCATAAATGGCTCTCTTTTATCTATATAATAAAGTGTGGTTTCCTTATGTGGCTATTCAAGGCATTTGCAATCCAGATTTTGTTCATTATTTCCATCTTTCTGCCATGGCTCTTCTGCCTGGAGTGGAAATTACCATCATATTTTACTCTTCTCTTCTTCAGATAACAACCTAGATGCCCCAAACCCTATTCCTGCAAAAAAAAAAAAAAATCATTCTATTTCTTCCATCAACAAAGCTGTCTCCTTCCACCTTGGTTCTTGAATTCAGGTGTCCAGCAGCCTTCAATGACATGCACCATATAAGCTTTCTACACACATCTTCTTGACAGAACATGTGGACTTGATTTTTCTTTCAACTGTATCTTTCTTTGACATTTATCTTTCTGTTTTATATTAGTGCTCAATATGTGTCTGATTATTTTACCCTACAAGACTCATAAATTTCTTAAAATCTAGGTTAAGTAACCCGTCTCTTTCAAAGAATAGGCATGTTATCAATATTCCCTGGAAAAAGTACAAAATCCGCAGTAAATATTTATGGACATTTCTAACTTGAGTAAAATTTAATTTAAGGCAGACTCCAGACATGGCATCCTCATTTCACCCTGTAGTTACTGAGCATGCATCAGGCCTTGAATTTAGTTGGAAAGCTGTTAAGCTATTTTAATGTGTCTGATTTTCCTAGAAGAATGTGGGCCTCTTACCCGAGGTTATGAATACATTCCTTAAAGAGCTGAAAAGTGACACACTGCAAGTCTCAGTTGACCAGCCAGGCATCAGGCTGTCACTGCCTGAAGCCAGCACATGTTTGAATCTTTTAGTATACTGTTTATTTTCTGATGTTATGAAAAAATTAAGAAGCTGATAAATGAGTGATGCTAAGAGTATTAGCCGCATGTTTTGTCATGTCGGTGTGATATGACTGAAGGTAATTCATGGCAACACCTGTATGGTAACAAAATGAGTCTATAAAATTCAGGAGAAGTCTATTTTTGTAGTTTACCATTTTGAATTTGTCTCCTTGATTAATAACCAGTGCCTGTAACCCTGATCGTGTATAAAATGTTTGGCTGGCACACATTTATAGAGTATCAGGGCTATGGAGAATATTTTGGTCTAACAGGGAAAGAATGAAGCTTAAGAGGGTGGATGACTTTTCCAAGAGCAAACAGCCATAGTTTCAGGAATAATTCATTTTTTCCATATAAATTGGAAGAGAAATCAGTCTGCAGGCTTCATGCCCATTTTAATTTTTATCCTTTTCCCTATTTGTTGAGTTGATGGCCAGAATCTGCTAAATCATTTTCTTCAAATCACCTGCTGTTCTGGTCATGCAGTTCACAGTAGCTCATGAGTGGATGTTTGTAAGTGTACCGTTATTAAAGCTAACCACTGTTTTTTAAACCAGGCCACAGATCTGTGATGACCACACAACTTGGACCATGCAGACCTGTGATTCTGAAAATGTTTAAATATTCATTAGATTACTATTTTGGTACCTGTGGTTGAATAGAGTGGTATTGCTTATATTATATTTCATATTTCATGTTTCATGATAAAGTGCTGTCTCTTTATTAAAAATGTTCATGTGCTTTGTCGACATTAAAGTGATACTAGTTATAGAAAATTAGGACAGTGGGAAGGCAAAAAAGGAAAGTCATTTTTAGTTGTGGGACAGAGAAATCATGCCATTAATATTTTAATCAATCTTCTTTTGGAAGTCTTCCTTATGTAACTTAGTATTTAACCACTTAATGACATTATAAAACTTTACTGGAATGTAAATTGATACTATGATTAAATGCCATCTTTCTTTTTTATTATCAACTCTTTGGAAAGACTACCAACTATTCCTTTTAAAAGCCGCTCAGTAGCTGTGTATTGATTGAGTTATGTATGCAAGGATTAATTCATAAAGCAGAAGAACCTAATACAGACCTAGAAGTCAGTTTTATTTTTTTTTAAAAAGCTTTGTCTTACCACTTAAGGTGTTGTGTTAGTTCACTGTAAATGCTGAAACTAATGACCACAAACCTAGTGGCCTAAAGCAGCATACAGTTACTGTACAGTTCAGAATGTCAGAAGTTCAAAGTTAGCCTCACCAAATCAAGGTACTGGCAAGGCTAGGTACTTCAAATTTCTCCAGGGAGAATCTTTTCCCAGCTACTTTTAACTTCTAGAGGCTGTCTGTTTTCCTTGGCTCCTAGCCTCCCTCTCTATAATTTCATGGTGTGTTTCAAGCATCATAGATAACTCTGACCGTATTGCCTCTGTAAAGCCCTTGGTGATTCCATTTGATCCACTTAACTAACCAATAACAACCTCTCCATCCCATGATCTGCAATGTACCTTGGGCCATAGAAGGTAGCACTGATGGATTTTCCAGTTCACAATAAAAATATCTTTAGGGACCATTAGTCTGTCAACCACGATTTCATAAATAAATTGCACATTGTCAATTAAACTATGAGACGTTGTTGATTCTAGTAAAATATACCAACTTAGTAACTTATTCAAAATTTGATAATTGCAAAAATATATCCAGTGTATATTGCTATATATTTAATAGTAAAATCTCAACTTCAATAAATAGTTGTTTATTTCCTGTATCACACAAACTAAATATAGTGTGCATGTACCAAAATTCATACAACGAATCTCCCACTTTAGAACATTTGTCTCCAACTCATCTCTTCTCATCTCTTCCTTTTATAATTAGCCCATTCTTGAAAACACATGATAAAGGAAGAGAATCTCCATGTCCTGCGTGCCATTGCCTCATTAAGCCTTAATGAAGGAATACGGCCTAGGATGATATTCATCTCAGACATAGGGAAGTTGAGGCATGAATCTTAAATAATTTACTCAACAGTTCTCATTCACTCAGAGAGAGAGTTAAAATTTGAGCACAGATGCTCTTCCTTTAGAACTCAAACCTTTAAGCAATGGGCAGTGCTGCTTACTGCACCTCTCTGCTAAGGACTTTTCTTCATTGACTAAATTTAGAAATGTAGTGTATTGCATATCTTACAACATACACTATGCCATTATAATAGATTGCTTAAAGTAGACTCATCAAAAAGAATTAAACAGCTTAAAGAATTAGAAAATCATGCCAAATATGTATACCCATTCATATAGTTGTTGTTGTCATTATTTTCCATTTTGAGTAATGATTATAAGGACATAGCCTGTTATCTGTGTATTTTATTCTTGAAGAAAATGTAGGCACACACTCGAGTCATCATATGATGTTTACATCGGCTCAACTTTTAAACTTCTTGTTTGTAGGAAGGAAATGAGTTGATGAAACAGATGATCACTCCGTCAACTATGGTCAGATAGGCCAGTGAAACCATGGTTTACATATTTGTCTTCACATACGGGAGACCCAGCCTCCTGTCCCATCCTTCTCTTTAGCTTGGAACATAGACTCTTTTTCACTAGCATAACACCTGTGACCCTCCATCATCCTCTGCAAATTTGAAACTGAGAACTTTCCTTGAGTTAGTTTACTAGATAGCTTATACTTGTGGTATCTGGCTTTATTGTTATTTTCTAAAAAGATATCTGTTTTGGCCATTCACTAGTCCATTTCTTTGTTATTTTTTTGAGCATCTGCCTTATGCCAACCTTAAACAGAGTCTGCAAGAGCTGCCCACCACATGGGTCCAACAAGCCAGTGAGTGAAGAGATAGTACATGGTTTAAATTCTAGATTTCGCATCAACATTTGGTTTTAAATGTATCAAAGTTTAGTACTTGAAGTAAATATGATTACCATTATCATAAGACATTTTATGGAACTAGTGGCACATGTTGGTAAATAAAACAACATTCAGTAAAATGTGTAAATAAAAACGTATTGTTGGCATGAACAATGAACTTCTCTAAAGGGAGAAGCCACTACATCATTTTAAATTGTGCATGCTAGCTTAATTTAAAAGCTTCAAAATAATCCCATAAAAACTTAA